TAAGTATATTTTCAACCTGGCACGAGTTATGCTATTTTAACCCCTTCCGCTAGCTATGTCTAACGACTGGGCAAGCCAAACACAAAACAGCGACGAAAGTGGACATTATATCACCAATGTATCCAACATCTGCGAGGGTATCAATCTTCTATTGGCTGGTTTCGTGTAAAAATAGAGGCAAATCTGCATGTCTAAAATACTGTCGATTCTGTTGTAGTCGAGCGATAAACTAGAGCCATTCATTACTGTGGAAGTGGCCCACACGAAATGAGCACGAAGGGGGGAAAATCGCCCAGTTCTTAACTTACGATTAGTGAGTCTTAACTTACGATTAGTGAGGAGGAACTAGGCGATTTTTCCCAGCAGAGGCAACGATAACGTGCCAACGAAATCATACAAGTGCGTCGCATCATGCGTTTAATTTTACTTACATCTCCTCTCGCGGAATCGGATCTTTTTCGTTAGCTCAGGTGGAATACTCCTACCACTGTTCCAGATTTTCGTGCCCCACCTCGTAGCATGTACTCTTGTTCCCTTCATCCTTGCGTCGGATAAGCGGCACCCGACCGCCAAAGCTTTCGCTGCAGTCCTCGCAGTAATAGCTGATTTCGAAAGACTTCTTTTTCGTGGCCGAGAACGCCGAACACTTTTTACAAAGGTACTGTCGCCGCTTGGTTTGCTTGCTCGAAGAATAGAAGTCAGCTGTGTTCACCAACTTGTGTTTCTGGTGTTGAATCGGTACAGTCACCAGGTCTTCGGCATTCAGGTGGGTATCACACTTGATTGTTTGCAGCGCCAGCAACTGGTTGTGCAACCGGCGCAAATAATCGGCGTGGGTTGGCGGAGCAAAACCTTTATTCTTGAGCGTAATACATTGAACGATGCATTGATTCACTAATGCCATGTCTACAATGCATATAAATATCTGTCTGTAGTATTTCCGTAGTGCAATATACTTCTAAATACTGTAACGCTGCGGCCTGAGCTGATCGTGGACGTCTACGCCTCCCATGCCGAGGCTGTAGTCCACGACCAGCTGTGGGCAAGGTACTGTACTGCGGCTGCCATCATTTTCCGTGCGATTAACGCTTGTCAGGTTTGTATTGCACCCTGTCGCCAGCATGTTCACCGGTTTTGAATCCAGCCAGCTCAGTGCAATAAGCTGAGGATGGTCACGCGCTTGTGCTATGCGGTAAGTACCTCGTGGCAATTTCTTCGGTCTCGTCCTCTGCGTGAACTGAAGCGGACACCAGCCTAACCGGTCTACCCGTGCAGTACCGACGTGATACAACCCCAGTAGCTTCAGACTCAGTGATACGGATGAGTAGAAGCTGTTCGTGGCGATGTGTCGTTTTCCAGCTGGCCGGCGAGCGTTTTGGATATGTTGCTCATGACGGCCAGAGGCCCAAGTCCCAAAGTGTCATGATTCGTTTTCTCTTTCTCTTTCTGCTTCTTATTCTTGTCTGCTCCACAGTAAATCTCCACTCTAAATCAGTAGAATACAGAATACCACAAGCGCATGTTAGTTATTCTGTAGCACCCAACTACAATAATTCTAGACAAATAGAAAGATCCTCACCTCGAGCAGTATGCGGTCTCGGCGCAACACGTCACGTATAGCTTTGTTCCGTATTTGCCGGGCTTGTCCGGCATCAACACTCGCATCGAATTAAATTTAATGCGGTTTGACATCATGCCTTCGTCAAAGGAAATCACCTTTCCGAGGCGATAGCCTCGCCGAAATGTCTCCTCCACTGTATGTAAGAGCGGCCTGATCTTCCAAGCCTTATCCCGACGCGCTTCTTCGTCTCCGTTATTGTTAAAGTGCAAGAGCTGCATGATAGCCTCGAATGAATCTCGAAAATGATCCCCGAGGAATATCTCCATTTTCATCAGTCGACCAGTGTTTGGCAAGACCATCGCGAAAAGGATGGCTCGTGCAATCAGTAGGGCTACCACGTGCACAATTTCATGTGGCTGAATTTGCTTGAGCTTGTTCAGTCGTTCTTCGTATTCTTCTAAGCTCGAAACACTCACTCTTGGGTCTTCAGCCTGACGTGCGAGTATTTTAGCTCGACGGGAAGCCGCGACAGCACTAATAGTCTGCTGTCGGTACCGGTTAGTGTCTTTGGCAATTCGAACCCACAGCTCCTTGGCAAGAAATAGAAGAACATGTCGAGTTGGGAGTTCGCGTATGCAACAGCCGAGCAGGTCGGCCCCCAAGATCCATCGTGATGGTCTGTCGCTGCGTCTAATTGCAAATTACCTGAGAAAGTATTATAACGTATTATACAGAATTAGCACTCCAAAATTGATTATATTATGTATACTTTAACTTACCACTACGTTCTTCATCGTAAACTGTCCAGCCTGACTCCGCAAAACCCCGCAGTTCATCGGACGTCAAGTCAAATATACCGGTGTCCGGATCACCTTTATTCAGTGCCACATCGTCGACATCTTGTACGTCTGCTACGACGAGAGTATCTAGCTCATTATCAGCCATGATGTCTCCGTCGTCGGTATCAGACTCGGAATCAGTGTCGTTAGATTTTCCATCAGGTTCACATCGTCCAGATCTGTATCACCGAACAGCTTTTCCGACCATAGCCCCTTCATGAAGTTATCGCTATGAAATATATCAGGATTCGCAGGACCTGACGGTACATCGAGAGCCGTGCTTACGCTTTTGGCCCCTTCCAGCTCCCTGTCGCTCCGACATTTACGTTCCTCTTACTCTGTACTCTCCGGAACATAAGAGGCAGTGACAGCTTCTTGCTCTGTAGAGGCCAGAATAGGAGTCGGAGACACGACAAGGCTTAGGCAACCTTCTCCCAAAGACGGGGGCTCGGGCTCGACTGAACGCTGGTGTAATGTAGATGGCTGCTCATTCGTATTCACCGGACTGGAACACGGACATGGCTGCACTGTCGTAGCTGGTCCTGGTGCGTCAGCATGGGGTGCCAACTCTGTAGGAAAAGACATCGGAGACTGAAGTCCTGCGTCAGCGTTACACGCTGGTCTGCCTTTGAGAATACAGGCATGTCTTGCATCACCATAAAACGACAGCTGAAGGCACCCAGAGCGTCAACCATACACCATTAGTTCTTCTTCGCCTGTTAGATCATGCAGACATTAGCGTAACACCCGGACTGTTAATACAGCTCACGCTTACCTTCAAAGAAGTCCTCCCCGCGTCTCGCTTCATCTAGACGACCCTTGACCCCAGGCCTCACGTAGCGGTGGTGCTTGGCAAGTCCGACCGGCTGACGTGGCCTCCAACCTTCCTTAGAAAGCTCGCGCCAAAACTGCTTGAACATTATCTCGCCTGGGCCGTTCATCTTTCGAAAATGAGAGCAAGAAAGTAGTGGCCAAAATTGTCAGCGTCATTTTCAAACCTTTGGTTTGTTTATATTCGTATTTCTCTTACATTCGACGAATCCCCGTTTATTTACCCGTCACCGAATTCTAAGCTGACTTTCACCCTTACTAATCACTTTATGCGAAGAATCGGTTCGTAGCCAGCTTTGTCAAATATTTATTACTGCAAAACTGCTTATTCTGTATAATACAGAATATCGGGCTAGAAGGGTTAAGACAACCCTACCAGAATGCCAGTAGATCATTATTTGTAGTTATACCCGAGCTTACAGCAAACAGAATATGTGAAGTTTAAAAATCAATTTGAAAAACCAATTTATTTAAAGTACTCAAGTACTTCAGCAAAGGCCCTAAAAGGGCTGTTCTTAACAGAGGCGTGCTTGTATCTTAACAACAAAATAACCCAGTTGAGTTTTTTACGGTACCGGTACCAAAAAATACCAATTATTTGACTGGGCCAAACGCCACCATCGATTCGCATCCATGTTGTCGCGACTGACGATGCTGCGGAAGCTGAGCGCTCGCCTCGCGCCGGCCGCCGCTGCTCCAATACTTTCAGCCAGTTTCTCTTCACCAGCCGCTAGCCGTCGCGCACGACGCTTGCGTAGATCCAAAACTAGCGCCAAAGCGGCCGATAATTCGTCTGCAGACCCGCGAACTCCTTCCATTTTGGCGGACATTGCTGAGCTCTCGCGAAACGGCCTAGCGCGGCGCGTGGAGATGCCAACGGAGCTGTTGGAGCGTCTTGCATCCGTCGTACGTAGCCGCACGCACTCGCAGCTCGAGATGCTACGCCAGAAGCACGTAGGTGACCGCCGGAATACGCGACAGGTGCCACTTGACATGAGCAAGACACCTCTGGGCTGGACCATGGACCGCAGCCAGCAGATCCCGCCCTTTGCCTACGGCCCGGCCGAAACGCTGGCCTTCCTGGCCTACGAGATGGAGGCCACTTACGCCTGCACACACGCTGTATTCACTGAGCTGCAGAAACGACTACCCGACTTCAAGCCTAAGTCCGTGCTGGACTTCGGTTCAGGACCCGGTACGGCATCTTGGGTGGCCAAAGATTTCTATGACCAATCACTGGATAAATATCGCGTGGTGGAGCCCAGCCAGTCTATGGTGGACGCGGCTGAGGTCGTGCTCGAGGGATTTCCAGGCTTGAGTATGCGTCGCAATATCACCGACTTGTCCAGAGACATCGATGCTGGCAACAAATACGACCTCGTAGTAGTGAGCTACGTGTTTTCAGATATCACGAACGACTTCGAGCGTGTCGCGACTACCTCAGCACTATGGGAGCTGCTGAGCGAGGACGGGTGTCTGGTGATTGTAGATCGTGGTAGTCCGTGGGGGTCGCATCACGTGCGATCCGCGCGTCAGTTTGTGCTGGACTTGGTTGCTAAGGATGCAAATGGCAAGGAAGGTGTGCGCATTGTGGCCCCGTGCCCGCATCATGATGAGGTAGGAAGGTGAAGCAGCTGGATATGTGTCCTTGTTGGTGTTTAAAACGTATTGCTTGTGCTGTTGACAGTGTCCAGTAGGTGGAAACACGTGGTGTCACTTTGTGCAGCGCTCGCCTGTAGTGAATCGCCCTCGTGAAGTGACTACTAAGCGCTGGCATGGGCAGAAGGGCTCCAAGTTCTCGTACATGATCATGCAGAAGACACGCAAAGGAAGTGAGGAAGATGCCGCCGCGAAGAAGAAGAAACCGATTGCACGCTTGCTTCTAGGCCCACTGCTTGCTACCCGCCACGTGCATCTTGACCTGTGCACTCCGGAGGTATGGTGCATTACCTGTAGCTCAGTTTGTACTGCTGAAATTGAGTTTCTAACGAGGTTTTGTAATAATTTTGTAGGGAAAGCATGAGCGTCGTAGTGTAACCAGAGGTAAAGCAGTTCGTGAGGTGTATCGTGCGTCGCGGAAGGCACATTGGGGAGCGTTATGGCCAGCTGACGAGTCCAGTTACCTGAAGGACAAGTAGGATCCGAATTGCCATTTTTGATGCAAAAATAGATGCAGATGACCATAACAAAGTGCCTCTTTGGTATCAGAAGTTAGCACGCTCGTTTTTTAGACAAGTTGACTGATGCTGTTTTTGCTGGGAACTAGGAGTGAAGGATTCAAACAGGATCTTCGGCAACAGAAGAGAGCAGCTTAGTGACGATAGTGCTCGGGACAGTTGGGGTTTTAGTGCTGCGAATGATATGTACGTGCCGACGAAGCAGCCTTCGTCGGAGCTAGAACAGCATAAGTCTTTTACCTCTAGCCCCATTTTTTTTTGTCACAAATTAACCTCCACTTCTACACTGTAGTATTTAAAACTGGGTAGAAAAATTCTGCGCTAACTATTAGCATTTTTTAAATAATTACTAGTTCAAAGCGATCATTGCAGCGCTTTACATGGCAATAGCGCTACCGGAATTAACGGTATTTTTGCAACCGATCAATTTTTTGCAACCAGTCCCCCGTAAAAAGTCTGCAGCACCAGCAAAATTAACCAGTTTGTCATCAAAACTGTGTCCCAGTTAAAGCGCGCTATTGCTTACAATATTGTGAGCAAAGCGGCGGTTTCAAATGGACAGGAGTATCTTGTGCGAGATTTTACGCCTTCCGCCGTTCTTACGGTTTTGACTTGAAAGGTACTTTTTACACGGCTGCAGAAAACACGTTAATTCCGGTACGCAAATTTCCTCCTCCATAACTTCTATATATGTACCAAATTTGCCCAAAGTCGAGCAAGGTACTGTACTGGTGTGACGTACGTCACACCTCCCCTCTATTCGTTCTCAGAGGTCTAGAGGTCCGCTCGATGCTGTTTTATGCACAGGCAGAGCGGACGAAGCACACATAAATGACACACTTGTCCGCTGGTGTACGTTAAGAGGACGATCGCGCATGTTCTTTCCGCAAAACCAGATTACAGACAACGACGGTGAAACAAGACAAAAAAACTCGACCCCTTTCGTGGTATCACCTGCGATTGGTCAAAATTGAACCGACCCAACAGTTTATTAAAAGAAAAAACAATTTAAACAAGCACCGTAAAAAAGCAAAAACATGTATTATTTTGCTCTACACCATCACGACAGGGTGTTTTGGGATTGCTTTTTCAAAGCTTTTAATAACACATTCCGTAGATATGCTTTCCCACGCTCTAATTGTGCGTGTTACGGCAGCCAGACGCTTTTCCTTCGCGGTTCTTGTTACTGCCACCTTCTCTCGTAGCCATTCAGCTGTCAACTTTTTCTTGAGTGGCCCCATAACGCCCACGTCAAGGGGCTGACTCACAGAGGTGCTGTTAGCAGGCACGGGGACCACAATTGCAGAGGTCTTTTCCGCCACAACGCTCTGACCGGCTTCGGAAATATGCGAGTCAAAATTGTCCAGCAAGAGGATTGACGGGGCATCAATCTCGTACTTAAGCAAGTTCAAAACGTACGCTTGCCACACTGTGGCGTCCATCCAGCCATTTTCTTGGACGGTGTACACGTGGCCTGCAGGATACGTCGGAAGTTCATCCGTCTCCACAGTCCCGCCCGGCATTCCTCGTAGTATAAACAGTATTGGTAGCTTTTTCCCTAAAATATAAATAAGTTAGTTTAAACATAATAAAATCATTAAATCATCAAACAAAACTTACCATCCGCTCTAATGGTGAGAACTGCAGTGAGTCTACCAGAGTTTTTCTGCGTGTGCTTCACTTTAGCGGAGCCACGACGGCCCTTGAGGGCCCAAATCTTGTGGGGTGGGGTGTCAAAATATATTGCTGTCTCGTCGACATTGTATATGGCGGATTGCTGGAAGTGAGAATGCTGTTTCCAAAACTCTATGGCAAAGTTCAAATGGATTTCTTGTAGTGCATCTTCATCCTTTTTAGTAAATTGCGGTTTCTGAACAGAAAAACCATGGCTATAACATTAAGAAAAATATGTAAGCAATAAATATTGATTAAAAACACAAATAAAATAGGATAAATTGCTAAAACGTTTGATTAAACCAACATTTTGGAAAACGAGATGCTTACCGAGCTGCAAACCGCTGGCACATACGCATCAACGCGCTCAATGCGCGCTCAGGAGATGATTTATCGGCTAAATACTGCTCCAGCCAAGGCCCCTGCTCCATCTTCATATACTCGATCATGCCTCCAGTACATAAATACTATATATACACGTTAGAATCTGCAATAAATAATATAACAAAACAAATTATTTACCTCTTCATCCCGACGGACGTCTTTCATGAAGTGACCAATTCGTGCTCAAATGTGATTTTAGTCTTTGCGCCTTGTCCTTTTGTCGTTCTGCTAGTTTGAGGTCCCTTAAACGCAAACAGCAGCTTTGCCTTCTTTCTCCAGCCCTTCAACGTACCTAATGGAATATTAAGCGCCCGAGCGGTAGGCTTACATCCCTTCAGAGCCACCCGCTCGAGCGCTTCCCGTCTCTGCTTGACGGTGTAGCTGTTCTGCCGACGACGTTCGTCCATCACTTCGCAGAAACAGCAATAGCGTGATTGTTTAAACGGCGCCAGCATGGCGTGCTGTCCAGCAATTTATTTGAAAGTATTACAGTTGCACTATAAGGGGGGTCGAGTGTTTGTGGGGGGTTGAGTTTCACCGTCGTTGTCTGTATATCATTCAAACGATTACATCTCTTCAATACTTATGCGTGTTCAATTTCTCCATCGACTTAGTCAGCTTGTCCATCACTGGTCGGAATGCCTGGCTTGCCTCCCACGCATTGACTTCCGCAATTGATGGGTGACGACTTACCGCAGCATGATGCTGCGGTAAGTCGTCATGCTGAGCATCATGTAGAACCGATTCAACGAGGCGACTGGTCTCATCATAGATGGCTTCGCTTAGATCGTACTTGCGAAATAGAGTCAGCGCGGTGGCTTCAAGCGGCGAGAGCTTCATCGTCACGCGTCGAGCCAATTCGTCCAAGTGAGCAGTGCAGTACTTCTTGTTGGCTGGATTGAGTGGATTTCGGCAAGTTCTATCCTCGCTTTCAATCCAATGGGTGCATTTTCCCGCTCGTGTCTTCACTCGAGCCTTTCGCGCGCTCTTCTTGGACGTGCTCTTCTTGACTCGCTGCTGATTCTTGCGTGTGGGCGCCATGATCAGTGCATGAATGAGAAAATCGTGCTTGATTCCGCAGACTGCGGACCAGAGCGGTGAGATGTGGATCAGATTTCTTGTGGTGTGGTCCTCTGGAGCGCTCCAGCCAGATGCCTCTTAACAAATATGATAACCTCTTCAAAACGATGATGCAATCAACGTCATTGGTATCTTACCCCCCTAGTGGAGTCTGGTGTGCGTCCGTCCGTCAGTCCGTCCGTAACGGGCTAGGGTTAATAAAACTCACGCTAATACGCGCGTTCTACTGGCTGCCGAGCGCAGCGAAGGCGGCCTCGATTCGCTAAAATTGCATTATGTGGTGTACACACTGTATGTGGTCAACACATCGTACTTAAAAGCACCGTTCAAATTTCATTTTGCCCCCATTTTCGAAACAGAAGCCGCGGAACGCCACGTTACTCAAGGTACGCTGCGTGTATGCATGTTAGTTTACATTAGTAGCTAGCAAGACACACATACACAGATAGTCCGAGGTTCCTGGGGCTGCTTAGGGGGTAGCTTATAACTTGCGGGATTTTATCCTGCAAGTAGGTAGCCGTGCTATGGGGATTTAGTTCCAGAGCCCTCTGGGTTCTTGGGGCTTTATCCCACCGCCCACTCTGCGCGAGAGCACATTTGGCACCTGGTCCATTGACCGCAAACCCGACAGCGAACCAGTTGAGCCGGTCGTTAATGGTTATTGATGGGCACGCACATTGCGTGCGTGCAGTTGGTCAGGAGGGGTACCGTAACTGGCCTCTTTTAACCGACAGATGGGATGGGGGCTGTAATAGCCTATCAATAACCAGCCTTTGCAATTAACGGCCGCCTTTTGGCAAAAGGATATCGCACCTCAAGCTACAGTACTATCCGGGGGCCCAACCCTGGAGATTCGACTGCACAATTTGCAAACTAAAACCGCTCCGGGCCTCACGGCCCGTGACTGTGGGATAAGTGATCGGAGATAACCTTGATGGGAGCAAGCAATCCCGGGTAGTACGCAGATGTCCCCACACCCTACTTTATGAAAACTACTGCTACGTGCGGTGTACTTAGACTATGTCTAACGCGTCACGTTTTCGTGTTCGCAGACTTATGGCTCGAGCTAAGCGGAAAAGGACGCGGGAAGAACTTGAGGAGGCTCTGCGCGAGAATGAACTGATCAATGCGACACCCATGCAAGAGGAGAAGGAAGCACGGAAGCGACGTATGAACAAGCGCAGGAGGAAGCGCTGCGACTTGAACAAAGCGCTTCAAGCCCTCAGTGTGCACCAAGAAGCTACGGCGGTTACGGAAGTTACGGAAGGTCAAGCTGGCCGTTTTAAAGAGCGGGAGGAAAAGACGGAAGAGTCCGATCCTGTTATATTTCAGCGCCGGTTTGCGGCCCAGATGGAGGCAGCGTATCAAGCAAGAGCTACCGAGGTGGCTTCATTGGCAGTGCGTTTAATACCTCCAGCTCCTGTTCAAGAAGCGATTCCGGTGTCAGCTGCGCAACGAGCTTGCGAAAGACGAGCTAACAGGACACTGTCTCAGACAGATCGCGACCGTACACGCGACACACAGAGATCTCGCACAAGACGAGCTAATATGTCACTCTCTCAGCGTGATCGTGCGAGAAAAAAAGACGCAGAGCGCAAGCGTGCCCGAAGAGCTCGGTTACATGGAGAAGATCTTCACGAACAACGAGGGAATAATCGGCAGCAGCAAACAGCACACAGGGCGGAGCTAAATCAACAGCAGCGACAATACGAACGCGACCTAAACCGCCAACAGCATGCAGTTCGCCGAGCGGAGCTACCACTAGAAGACCGGGACGCTGAGCGTGAGCTAAACCGCCAACAGCACGCCGATCGACGGGCCGA